TCATCACTAATTGATGCCAGGTGGCCCCAGATCACACCGACCCGCTCCAAAACATTCAGAGAAAAACCCAGCAGCAGCAGCCAGCAGCCCTGGCAACAATCTTGTTGTCACTTCCTGCACTGCTCTAATCCAATGCTGTGTCCTTCAACATGACAATCGTATGGTACACACTACTAATACGTATGAACCTATATATGCACAGCAGTAAGTTACTGAACAGCTTCCAGAGAAAGCTTTTATTATTCTGAAAAAGAAAAAAAACTATCACAGCTGATGTCACATCTTCCTCCATGTACCACGCAGCCACAGATCGAATGCCAGCTAAATGTGAGGCCCAAGCTCACAGTGATTACACTGCTGCACCTGTTACAATGCCCATGAGTTCGTCCATTCATTCGCGTGCACACACACACACACACGCACACACGCGCACACACCACCCCCACACACACACACACACGCAGTAAACCTCCAGACACACATCTATGCCATCTAAAACAGCACTCACTTTAGTTTTCTGCTTCTCTTTAACCGCAGCGCAAGTTCAGGTGGACAATATGTAGGTCCTGCTGAGCAGCTGGTTATTAGTCAGTGTAGCTTGAAATCTTAAATCATTTAGATTTGAATCCAGTACTCTTGTTTTCTCATCAAGGTTGTCTGCAGTCTCCAGGTTTGGGTTTTTGGGCTGCTCCTCTTCCTCAGATTCTTCTGGGACTCCCTCCAGGGCGTTACCAAGGACAGCGTTTTCCATCCTTGCAAGCTCCAATAGAGACTTCCCACAGAGGAAGAAGGTTGAAAACTGAAGAACTATGCATGTTGTGGTGTCTGAGTTAAAGTATTACAAGTTTTTGAAAATTCATAGCGAAACACTGTTTTGCAGCACATTTTAACGCAATGTAAACTATTTTTCTTTAAAAAGCAATGTAGACAAGAGTGTTTTTTGCATTTGTTTTTGCTTTTTATGTTGTTGTAAGTTGCTATTTAAGTGACGCAAAATCTACCCTGCAAGAAATAACTTCTCACAAAAGGAGTGAGGCTGTTGTGTGTAAATCCAATTCTATTTATTATCTGATTTTCTCCTTCTTCACCAAAATCATCCTTCAAAGATTTTCACTTGAATTCTGCATGTCTAAAGTAGTATGAGTTCAGCCTCGTTGTGCTTCCTTTTATTCAACTGGTTATTGTGATAGAGGCAGGAAATAAAATCATTTTGGGAGTAAAACATATAAATGTTCAGATGGAAAAACTCTTAACGGATTTATTTCCCAAGACACTCAATGACAGATGTCAAACTATCTGGCTTATCTGTTGCATGTGGAGGTTGACCTCCCTTAAAATCTACGCCAAAATGTGTCAAAAATGGTTCATTCACCACTTTTTACACTTTTTATTTTTGTTACTGGTGAACAAAAATGCATTAATGTAGATATTTAATACTAATATTAAAAAGAGCAATATTGTGGTATTTTTGCTCAATCCCAAATGATCCATGTTATTATGGTACAGGGAGCAGGACAAGCATATGCAGACAACATTACAGAAACAGGAAACAACTGTTTGATACAGGATCAGATTCAACGTGAAGAACGAACTGACAAAACCCTAAACAAAGGGAGGCAAAGGCAAACCATAACAGAAACCAGGAAATCCTTATGAAGCAGAGATAAATAACATGTGGATCTGACAAATACACACAGAGGAAACCAGGACTGTAAATCCACACAGGTGTGCTGGCAACAAAGCCAGAAGTGAGACAAAAAGGCAGGAAGGAAGACTGACAAGGAATCCGCATTGCAGAATAAAACAGGGAATGACTTGCACAAACTGAACAAAATGAAACCCAAAAGAAACATAAAACAACGTTGAGAGCAGACACATTCCTGAGTCTCATCCACATGACTGCAGCACTAACCTGTGGTGGCAACTAATGAACAGGACTGCTTACGAGGTGAACTGCTGCAGACTGGGAATAAACCACAGCATCTGCTATTGTGAAAATCCTTTCACCTCGTGGTCTCCTCATCAGAAGTTCTTAACATCAGCCAAACCATTTTTACTTGGCCAGTTTTTCCTGCTTGAAACTCATCGTCTTTGAGACAGAATGGTGTCTGAAGCTTTCCCACCAAAGGACAGAAAGATGTCCACTTCTCTTGTCAGAGCCGATAATGTTATGTTTGATCTGTGTTATATCATTATAGCAAAAAATAGCAAGTAAAAACGATTTATTTAACATCAAGTCCACATTTTTATGCTGAGGATGAATTACTTAGATTTTTTTATCTCTTTGTGTAAGTTTTATTATTTTGTTACTTGTACTTTTACTTAAGAAAAATACATAAACAGAAGCTTAATTTTGGGCTGCAGTATAACATTACAATGTTGCCACTTAGGTGTCAATTTCACTTAGAAAATTAAATAACTAAATTGCATTTACAATTGAACATACGTATTTAAAAATGTTCATAATAGTGCCTATGATTTGAGTTTTTTATATTAAGAGGTGACTATCAGGAAAAAAACAAGGCATCACTACTATGTTGTCACAGGAATTAAAATTAACATTTTGAATGAAATAAAACATAGGGGTCCAGTAAATCTTAATTGGTGAATAGAAATGTTTTAAATATTACCACACAAAGTATTTAATGTGTAAATACATGAAACCTCAGATAAGTTGAGAAGCAAATACTTTGCAGAAAATTTATTTGGACCTTTTTATTTTTTATTTTTTAAATCAACCTTACCTGAAATAACACAAGTAGTCACAAAGAATATCCAAAGTCCAGCCTGTTCCATGTCCTGAACACCGTTGCCAGTTTCTGTCTGTGTTTAAATCCCTAGAGTAAACTTCTGGAACTCCTCTTGGCTCTTGGAAGAGTAATTATTTTTGAAAAAGTAAAGAAATAGACTCAGCTTCAGCACCAGAGTCCGTTCATGTGTGGCACAAGCCGTGCGCAATCTCCAACTGGTCAGTGTGACCTGTGTCACTTTTTCTTTCTGGCGCTCGGTGTGTGGAGCTGCAGCGGTCTGAGGCTCGGCGGAGATAAAGCCGCTTAAACGCGTGGGCAGATTATTTCCGAGATAGACTTCCCCCAGCCCGACCGACAAACAGCCTGAGGGCTGAGCCGAGCAGCCCGGGCAGCACAGGGCGCCTGAGAAATTAAGAGTTGTGATCCAAGGACGCAATTAACAGTCCGGACAGGGACGGAGCTACGGACTTTAAGGCTGTCAATGAAGCCTTAAAGTCCGTGAGCTTCAATTGGATGTTTATTTTATAAAATACAAAAATTAATCTATAATAAAATATTATCTCATAATGAAAATACAATTATAGTTGGATGTTTAATAATTGGATAGTAGTCTCAATTCTACTAATCAACCTGGACAGATTCAAACAAAGCAGTGAGATCTAAAGAATGGTGCAGCGCTCCCTGGTGGATGGCGGAGACAATGCATGTACTTTTTTTTTTTACTTTACTTTTTTATAAGTTGTGGAACAAGAAAGTATTTCATGCCACTTGATTACAGTACATAACAATAGCTTAACACTGACATTTATCCTTGATTGATCCTTGATTTATCCTCTAAAATAAACACATATGTCTGCACTTCCTGAGGAGGATCCACATTTACTGTCGTTTTCTCAAAATGCACAATTTATTGATGGGCCAAAACAAAAATTGTTTGGGTTCTACACAAAGCAAATCAGCCATATTACATCCTGCTTGCTTCATTCAGTGTGAACTAAACGATGTAATTTGATCATGGAAGGGATGAAGAAAAATAAATATTACTTTCAGATTTAAAAGAAAATTTTCTAAGAAATCCCTTCATATTAAATGTATTTATTTAGCAGAAATCTTCCATACATGTTTTTTTGTTTGTTTGTCTCAATTATACTTGATTTAAACTTAACTTAAGATCTATTGTGTTGCAAATACGTTTACGTTCATCTTACATTTTATACATCCCCCATTACTAACCTCCAGATGGAGACACTGAGCTTTTTTTAGTGGCCCAGTGATGGAAATTTCTGAAGGGGAACGAATGAGTCGTGGAATTCAGAGAGCTGTGAAAACATGACAGTGGGTTTGTATTCGGGCAGACTATCTCAGGGAGAAAGCCAGAAAGTAAAAGGAAAGAATGCGTTGTATGCTGCACAGACGGAGGAATTGCTTAAAGCTGGATTTTAACTGTTTAATTCTATTTTAGCTTGTATTTGTGTATATAGTTTTATTTAGCAGGCATAGTGCTTTTGCTCTTGTGGTAAAAACTTGCTTTAGCTGATGGTTTTCAAAACATTTTACAGATTGAATACTGAAAAGTGTGGAGTGCACATGCTTTCAGTTACCCTGAACTTCTGGCTATATTAACAGAGTTGCTCTCTGCTTTAGGGTGAACCTAAACCAACCACCAGGTTGGTTGGAGAGTTTTTATAGCCATAAATCTTTAAGTCTGGTAAATTAGGTGTAAGTGTAGACTTCAGCTAAGTGATTCTAAGATATAGCTATATTGTCATTTTCTGACAAGCTTTCTTGTACTTATCAAGAAAACCATCCATACACCTCTAAAACATAATGTTTTATTTCGGCAACATGACAAAATGCAAAGCAATGCACATGTTCTCATCAGAAATAATTCTCCTGTCTTTGCAAATTATAATGAGACTGCTTGGTCCACAAAACACTTGCTCTTTTTGAGAAACATTTAGAGGAACAAACTGGACAGCAACGTGAAGGGCAAATCAGGTCAGCATGACTTAGAACATGAGACACAAGCGAGGACTCGAAGAGGGAAAGAGACAAGGTCAGACAACACCTTGCTGGTGAAAAGTGATGACCATGCCTGAGTTTTGCCTCTCTGCATACACAGACAGGCAGCTCGGTGCTTCCGTCAGCCACTGCAGAGGAAAAAGACGAATCAGTGCGCTTTCTGGTCCAGGCTCGTCCCTCCCTCCCACTGCCTCCTTCCGCCTCTCTGTGCTGCTCCCACTCCTTCTCAGTGGTGGGATGCTCTGCAGTGCTGCACACCGAGGTGATTCCCGGGAGCTATTTAGCTTTTACTGACGGAGCAGAAAGGAGCTGCTGCATCATTCAGTATTGACAGGAGGTAAGAATCCCTCAGGGATTTTAATTAACTGTGGATTAGAGAGGAAATATGAAATACTGAGAATGAGATAGAATATGCAGGAACATGTAGATATAATAGATAAAAGTGAGAGGCCAATTTATTCAACCTAATATAACAACAACAACAAAAAAAAACATTAAGACATAAAAATTGCTTTTAATTTTGAGAACGCTGCTCTAAATTATGCTACGTCATCTCTTTGACCCCCAGAGATGGATCAGGCTATTCACACTGAACACATCCATGTTGGTTTTGACCAGAACTTTCCAAACTCTATGGGCTGTTTGTTGTGACAAAACAAAAACAAAAAAACAAATTAGGATCTATTTTAGTATTTTTAGCTGTTATTGGCAGCGAGCCAAAGAAAACAATTAGCATGGAACTAGCAGTATTAAGGTTTAGGTGCTATCTCTTCCTCCGACTAATTAACCCATTTGTCATTTTTCCCACAGTTGGATGAGTGATTCCTCAACATGCTCGCATCTCTGTTTCTAAGTGGGATACTTGGAGGTGAGAGTACAGTTCTAGAAACTTCTAAGGTGTGGCACTAAGAAGCTGAGTTACTATTTTGAAGTATCAGAAGTTTCTGATGGAAAAAAAATCTGGGGGAGGAGATTGTTCTCATTAGGGAAGCTGCTTTATCACATATTCAAGAAGCACCTGGGTATATTTATTGAAATATCATCTTGAAGGATATCACCATTTCTATTTCTTACTGATTTAGTCAAGTAAATAAAACTAAATAAATAAAATACTAAATTTCTAATATGGACTATTTCTTTAGGGGAGAATTTACTGTATGTTCAATGCCAATGTTCATACTGTATTTATTTTATCCTGTTGAATAAAAAACAGCTTCACTTTCGGTATTAATCGCTATTAACTCATCACGGATTATTTCAAAAAGCTTTTCCGCATTTGTCCAGATTATTTACTGACGCGCATTCAAACAAACAGCTTTTGATTATAACACTTCAGGGTCATAAAAACAAGATTTACCATGTGACATGATGTTGCTATGGCTAACTGTAAGAGTCAAACTAGGATATTCACTAATGACTGCTAAATGTTTACTAAAGAGGCAGATATGTGGTGTCTGTGGTCGCTACAAATGAGACTTAGCTACTTCAATAATTTTCTCTGGTGCCACATGTTTGTGTTTTACCCAGTGCTGCTGATCCCAGTGAAATCTCAGCTGATCTCTGTGTGCTTGGAAGAGGATGAGGACCTGAGAGTCGACTGCCGGATCGAGCCCAAGCCCAACAAAATCAACAGCTACGAGTTCTCCTGGTCATCTGGAACCAAGGAGGCCCTCATCAACACAAATGTTTCCGGCTCAGCTGCAGAGGCCCAGTTCAGAGACAAAAGCGAAGTGGTGGAGCTTGATCCCCACGGCTACAGGATGACCCTGAAAGGCTTCACAAACACACTCCCACACAACACCACCTACATGTGTAAAATATCTGGCCAGGTTGAGAGTATCAATGTGGAGAAAGGTGGGTGGATTAGCTATTTACATACATGTGGTTCAATGCTTTGAAAGCGACACTGATACTTTTCCGTTCTCCTGCAGAACAACTGCAGCCTTGCTCGGCTGTCAGCCTGTTTCTGAAGAGCTCATGGTCCTGGATCGTCCCCCTGCTGATCTTCTTCTTTCATACACACTGCTAAATAAAATGTGACACTCTAGCTTGTGCCTATTTACACGCAAACAAGCCCAGCCTTACTTCTGTCTACATGCACATCCATCAACCCTACAGCTTTAGGTTTTATCATTGTTACGGCATTGCAATGCTTTTATTGAGGAAGATGACTCAAGATGTTCTGAGACCTTTTGCTTCAGAACTGCACAAATCTTTTGTGATGTAATGCACTGTGAGAACTTGCACATGTGAATATATAGTGATGGAGCTCTGGTTTTCAATAAAATAATGCTAAATATATAGTCAAACAATGATTTTCTGGTTACTGGGTGCTTATAAAAAACTGAAATGAATAAAAATGCAAAGTCAGTTCAAAGTATGAGGCTTGCCATCAGAATTTCATTAAAGGTCCATTCCCCAATCAACCCATCAACCAGCCAACATTTACATTTGCTGCCCAAAGTCACAGGAAATGGGATTGTCTGCAAATTAGTGCTTCTTTTTCGCAGATTTGATGCAGGATAATTCTGGGTAAAATGTTGGAACCCACATGAAATACTAAATGCGTGAACTATTTTGAAGGGATTCACTTATTTGACATTTGAAACCCAGATTAGACCAAGTCAAATCAAGTCAAGTTTAGCAACAAGGCAGTTCTAAGTTTTTTCACACCATAAGAACATCATACAGTAACCCATTATGAAACAAGCAATAAGCATTACATTTTGTCAAATGCCATCATCAAAGTCATGAATAAATATGCATCAAATATGCTGATCGGTATTCAAGTTATTATGAATGAAAATAAACTTTAAACAGGTAGGTTTTTAACTTTATGTTTCAGTATCATTGTAGTTTTCAGGAAGTTTGTTCCAAATTTGTGGTGCATAGAAACTGAATGCTGCTTCTTTATGTTTGGTTCTGGTTCTGGGGAATGCGGACAGACCAAAACCAGAACGCCTGAGTATTCTGCATGGTTGATACAACAACAATAGATCTTTAATGTATTTTTGTGCTAAGTTGTTCAATAATTGAGAAACTAAGAGAAGTATTTTAAAGTCTGCGCTCTGAGAACAGAAAGCCAGTGTAAGGACTTGAGATCAGAAGAGATGTGCTCTATTTTTCTAGTTTTAGTGAGAACACGACCTACTTAGCGTGTCCAACTGGGTTAGCCCATATGGGTCCAATTGAGACAAACCAACTGGGCACCATGCAAAAAACAAGCAATCATTTTAGATTTAAACTAATTTATACTGCTTGTAGACCTGAATGTAGAATTATTTGCATTCAACCCAGGAGTTTATGTCTAGCTGTGGGTTTCTCAGTTTATAATGAGACCATTATAAACGGGAATAAATTCTGGGGGAACAAAATCAATTTTTAGGCACATTTTATAAGATATATGTATAAAAAATGCTGATAAACAAAACTTAACCTTTTATAAGCACCAATTTTTTTTTCCAATACAGCAATCAAACTTATCTTCAGACCAGCTTTCTACATGTTTCCATTAGTACTTTAAAAATGTTTCTAAGCGAGCCGATAGTACTAATACTACTACTTGTACACCAGAGAAAAAGAGGCCACATGGCATAAAATGCAATTTCACAATTAAAGCTGCAAGCAGCCTCGAGCGGCCCTCGCAGCCAAGCGCCGCTCCGGCCTATTGCCACCGCAGGGTACTAGCAACCGCCGCCCGACACCAGCCACCACAGATACTCTCAGCAGTTTTCAGCACCTCCGCCCGCACCGCGGAAACTGTTGCTCCGTTTCCATCAACGCTCCCCACGTTCTAACACAGAAGTCGTTGCGCGGTTTCCGCGCCCGTCCACCAGGCGGTACGCATCGATGCGTTCGGCGGCACTTCCTGACGACGCACAAAAAATGTGGTGCAGATTCGTTGATATAGCGAGGAGATATAGCTGGCGTATTAATGTAGTTGGCGCAGTGGAGTCAAAATACATTTCAATGTTGTTGGGGTGTTTAGAGGTCAACAAAGGTCATACATATCCAATTTGGCGCCAGTCGGATGATCAACGTATCATTTAGAGCCTATCATATGCACATGGTGAAGAACTGCAGTTCGCCATTTCTACACCCCAATGCGGTTTGGTCAGCAGCCAGCATTCACAGAGTTCATCATCTTGTCGTTTTAAGTCAGTATTCACATGATGAAACCCATATATATGATAGAATAACAGTAAAACTCACAGGAGAAAAAACTGGTGATTGCCTTTGAAAAGTGGGCGGGGCTAGGGTGATTTCATCAAGTGACCATGGAAATGTGTTCAGGACTGTTCTATAGAGAAACACAGGAAGTGTGATGCAGCTGTGATCTTGCATTTGGAAGTTTTTTAATGTTTATGTTTCATGGCAAATAGTGAAAGTTTTACACTAAGCCACACCCACATGCTTTGATGTTAACTGCAACTGAGATCTAAATGCAGTGCAATTTTAACATTTTCCTAAAATGAGTCAGGAAAATGGTAAAGGTTAAGATGTATCATTTTAATAAACCCTTCTGGTCAGTAACAAACCAAGGGCAATGCACATTCAGAGAGCACAGTTAACTTTCAGTACATTAGAACAAAAGCACAGGTTTAATCTCTCTCAATAATTAGGTATTAATCACAGCAAGTGGTCCAAGTAAATATTACAACCCCATGTATCAGTCTTAAGAACTCAGAACGTTGTAAGATTGTCGCTCTCAACAATCGTAATCATCCTGTAGTGTGTGTGTGTTACGACTGATCGGGTCCAGTCGGTGGAACGTCGGGACCGCTTTGATCTAAAATCGGGGATATTGACTGTCTTTAATCATCTTTGCTCATTCATCCAATCTCTGTGGTGTTCCTCCGACTTTTTTTTTATCTTTTAATGAAAGATAATTATAAAATTATTGCACAGAGTACATCTGGTTGAGAAGCACATTCCAATCTTTGGTTGAAATGGCGCATTTGATTTTATTCTGCAGTCATAATACAATTTTAAACAATATAATAAGTTTCAATGAAAGGAGCTGGAATAGGCTACGTTAAGCTTTCGCGGTCAGTTGGGGAGAAAGGATAACTCCCATTTGATTTTCTAAAAAATTGAAAACAGTATTTTTTATGAAAAAAAAACTCACCTCCATGTTGCGATGCAACAAATATAATCCTTGCTTACGATATCTCCAGTTTCTTAATCCAAGGCTTTGATTTTTGGTTACGTCTTTTTTGGGTTAAAATAAGTCCGCAAACTAAAGTTACCATTCAACGTCATTGTCCATGTTTGTTTGTTTACTCCAAATTCAGCTGTGGTAGTGCAGAATTTTAATTTGAAGGTATTTCGTAGCTGGTATTAGAATGTGTTCGAGTGAAACCTCACACTCTTAGAACGAACCCGTTACACCTACGATTTTAAATAGGCTAGTGTGTGTTCTCTCACGTTTTCAGAATTGGCCGACTTTTCTAAAATCGTGTAGTGTGAACTGAGCTTCACTCACCGCATCTCCAGTTACCACTTTTAAGACGAACGGCAATAAAACTCGTCTCCAACAGACAGTTCCGGCTCATGAGCGTCATTCGGGTCTGCAGCTCCAAAACCGAAGCAAACGTTAGCGTGGTCCGGTTTGTGGCTCCATAAACCAGGCATAATGTTCAGGAAAACTTAGCTGCTCCAACAGTTTAGCAAAAAAAATGTACAGTCCACAGCGTAATGCGCCGAACCTCAACCATGTACGGTCTCCTGCCGACTGCCAGTACGTACAGTAAGTATTAGCACAGCTACAGAACGTGCAGTCCTTCTCAACCAATCAAATTGCTTAAATTTGTTTTTGCCCTTGACTGGCCATTAAGGCAGAGACGAGGGAAATGATGCATTTACTTGCGGTAGGAAATAACAGTCATTAACAAAACGCTACATTTACTCCGTGTTTTAAGCCAACAAAAATTATCTTAGGGCTTACATATAACATTTCAGGTTAAATGTAATCGCTGTCCTTTTGGAAATCTCACGGCAGACGCGCTGGAAACGTTTTCACGGCCGTCCGAAAAAAACCGAACTTGATTTGTTTTCTCATTGATGGAGTACCAGTGACTCCTGCTGGCGCAATAATGGTATTGCGCCAGCAGTACCAGTATTGCGCCACCAGGGGCCAGTCGTACTCCATCAACACTGACCAGAATGTGTTACTCAGCGGAGCTGAGTAACACAATAAAGGTTTTGAATGACGATGTTTGTATTATTTCTAGCCAAAATTAATGAATGTTTGTACTCTAACCCACAAAACAAAATTATTTAAAAAAATAAAACTTTAAAAATAAAATTGAGAGCCAAACGTATGGCAATGGCGTTACAGGTCACTTCGCCACGCCGCCACGCCCACCTGCTCCATCGAAGCTGGTCGGGGTTGGAATCCTCAATACACCAACATGTCTTCTGTGACTGGGCACAGTTTCATGTTGATGAGGTCAAAGGGGTCAGATAGCGACCATTGACAGTAAAACATGACACTTCCTGTTCTCAGGGGGCGTGGCCTAAGTGATGTCATCATTTGACCATAGGGTATTGTAGTAGACCCGATGATGATCAACAACAGTAATTTTGGTACCTGTGTGAGTTTCTGTGTAGGAGATATAACAGTTATTTTTTTACGGCGAGTAGGTGAACTTTGACCCCTGCTAACCCCCCTTCAGCATACTCAAAAACTCACCGTTTAGATAACTTTAGATGAGACATGCCTTATGAACAGACTGACCGAGTTTGAAGCCGATCAATCAAAATCCCTAGGAGGAGATAGATCAAATATGAAGGCTGTAAACGGCAAAAATGGGTCAAAAACCGAACTTGAATCCAAAATGGCCGACTTCCTGTGGGTTTAGACCATGGCTCCAAGAGACTTTTTTGTACGTCCTGACAAGGTACACATGTGTACAAAGTTTCGTATTTGTAGGTTAAAGCATGGCTTGGGGCTGATCATTTAAAGTTTTCTAGGGGGCGCTATAGAGAAATTAGGCTACGCCCACCAAATATTGTGATGGATTCCTGTTGGGGAGTAGATGAAGATCCATCCTTGTGAGTTTGTAGCAGCTGGGCCCGAAAATGTGGAATTGAGAGCCAAACGTATGGCGATGGCGTTACAGGTCACTTCGCCACGCCACCATGCCCACCTGCTCTATCGTAGCTGGTCGGGTTTGGAATCCTCAATACACCAACATGTTTTCTGTGTCTGGGCACAGTTTCATGTTGATGAGGTCAAAGGGGTCAGATAGCGACAGTTCACAGTAAAACATTACACTTCCTGTTCTCAGGGGGCGTGGCCTAAGTGATGTCATCATTCGACCATAGGGTATTGTAGGACACCCGATGATGATCAATCACAGAAACTTTGATGCTTCTGTGAGTTTCTGTGTAGGAGATATAGCAGTTTATTTATTTATGGCGAGTAGGTGAACTTTGACCCCTGCTAACCCCCCTTCAGCATACTCAAAAACTCACCGTTTAGATAACTTTAGATGGGACATGCCTTATGAACAGACTGACCAAGTTTGACGTCGATCAATCAAAATCCATAGGAGGAGATAGATCAAATACAAAGGCTGTAAAAGGCAAAAATCGGCAAAAATGGGGTCAAAATGGGAACTTCAATCAAAAATGGTTGACTTCCTGTGATACTTGCACTATGACATTAATTATAAATTTTGAGCGTCTTGGGGAGCTCTACAAGTGTACCAAATTTCATGTCTCTACGATAAAGTAAGTGAATAGCAGAGGGTAAAAAAGGGTGTTTTTC